TTTGATTTCCAAACAGCAAGGCATGGGGTATTCCATTTCTGATGTTCATGAATAATTTACCTGCATAAATTTATTCTCAAATGGTGGAACCAATTACTCACAACTCTTCATTTTCACCTCTTTTCCACTTTCACTTAGTTCCACAACTGTTTCACCCTAGCTGTGCTACTGCAGAGAGGGTGTCCTCACACTTCTGAGGACAGAAGTGTGATACTATATACGTTCTTACTGATGTACAAAATTGTACAAGTGTCATAATTGTACAAGTGTCATGTACCACTAAGATGCACGTTACTGAAAGCTACCTGAGAAGTAAGCAAGTTCATGCCAGAGTTGGGGGAGGGGGGAGGGGACAGATGACGGACGCACGACAACAACAATCCAAAAAACCCCAAACATCAAGACATGGGTTATCTGCACATGAAACTACAGCCAGGTCACTACTTAGAAACAAAGAGTATTTCCTTATTCTGTTCAGTCTCCTTAGCTGATTAAAACACTTGTTATTCTTAGCTCTGGGTGGAGAATGAGCATGTCTGCTTTAACAAAAAACTGGGAATGAGGAGAATCAACTGAATTGCACTTGATACACATTTACATGTATGCGCTGCATACGTTTCTCTAGCAGAAGATTGCTTCTTTTAGAGAAATCGTTTAAGGTGATTGTTATCTTCCAGTAAGAAGAAAGCAAGGCCAGTCACTCATGCCTTCCTCCAAGCCAGCTCTAGCATCAGGACTATTATTTTCTGTACACAAATGATGTTTTACGATAGGTACGTAGCTTGCTTTACATAAAGAAAAAAAAAAGAGAAGAGTACAACACTCCATCGGTGAGCTGAAGAATTAACTAATAGTCTAGTAATATTTTGTGTGCAATTAGTTAGGAGTTTTTTGTTGAGGAAAAAGAGCAAAGCAACTAAATACAATTATACTAGACTCTTTAAAGAAGCTCTAGGTAATACAAAATATGTTGTTCCTCATTTTACAGTACAATTATGGCTTAAGCACAGATGGTTAGGGGAAGAAGAATTAAGCAATTGGTGTCTTGTCCTCTGCAAAGGTTACACTACTTCACACTAACATAACTCAAGCTAGCACCATTTGAAAACACTTAAGTCTGAGTGAGTTGATGAGAAGTGGCACCCTTAAAGCATCCATCAGAGATAAGTTTGATTTCAAACATCATGCAGATGAAGATTTGTGTGAGAACATTCTGGTTTTGGGACAGTAAAGTTAACAAGCCTGTGAAGACTAGCCCAAAGTTTCACTTATTAAGACATTTCATTAAAAAACCTGCCATTTCCATGTCATCTTAAGCAACTTAAAATAATTTTCTTTCCAGAGTGGCCATTATAACCAAGTTTTCGGTATTTTTCCTAAATTAACCTGGTTTTCCTAGCAGCTGAATTTCAATAGACTTGCAAATGCCTGTTCAGCTACTGAAGGCAGCAGCCTTTTGAAGCACATAAGCTTTGCATTCTCAAAGCAGTTTTCCCCCCCGTGAGCAGAAGTAACGAAGCCTGATTTCCTATGGCTTTGCACCCAAGTCCCTCTGGTGACATTGTGGCCAGGTTCCTCCCAGGCTCATCCACCACTGTCAGCAATACTTCCCCAGGACTTCCACCTCTAACATGCCACCAGAGGCCAGCAGCCCCGGTCCCTCCCTTCCCTGCATTGCTAGACCACCTCCTCCACACATAGGTGACAAGGGAACAGAGGCCCCAGGTGCCATGCTGAGTTCAACATACATCTGTTGACTGACTGGATCGGAGGCCAAAGAGCACACAAACCTGCTGACTTCATGCAGCAGCCTTACTCTCGGCAACGGTGCTAAATCTGCTTTCTTTTCTCTCCCTGCTGTCAGTTTTAAACTCAAGTTATACAAATGTTGTTATTCTCAAAAGCTCTATCTGAAGTTCAGCTTTTAAACTGTTTCCCTAATTCTGGGAAGTGGGATGGACGAATACAGAGCGTATAAACATTTTTTCATTAGCAAATTCAGCTACCAAATTAGAATTAAAATAGACTACGTTGCATGCCGAAGGACTGCTTTTCATCTGACACAAAAACCTGTCGTACCTGGGTGCTAATTCATCCAAGTCCTTTGTAAAGATAAACTCTACCCATAAGTAGAGACTTACACACTTTATGAACAGATAAAAGTAAAACAATTTCTACTAAGCATACATTATTAATAAAATGACAGACAGTTACAAGTGGCAGAGAGACTTTCCATTTACCACCTATGCTTTATCACAATGAGTTACCAAAGAATTGTTTTTAATGGGAGTACTTGAGCTGAAGTATTCCTTTCAAAATGTAGTATAATCAAAATGTAGTAAAAAAGTAAGCATTCAAAATTGTTGAATAAAAACCCAAGCACATACATTTAAACGTATAGATTTCTATATTCTAAGAGAGAAGGCAGTGAAAACATTTGTGAACTTGAAGAGAGAAAAAGGTAGTCTGAACCAAATTATGTGCAACTGTTGCATATAATTCAACAAATGCTTAGAACAGTCACTTATTTTAACATAACTAGAGGTGCAAAATCACAACCTTCACGTCAAGGTCATCTTTAAGTGTAGTTCTGGTCAAAAATGACTCCACACAACAAGCCATGCTGAGATTTACTTGTTTAAACTGCAGACTAAGATTTGCTGCAGTACTTTAATTCTGCTAATCATTTCAGTTGTACTTTTGCGTGCCAGAAGCAAGCTTCATCTAGTCTATTTTCCAATTAGGCCAATGAATATCACCCCGCTGTAAGAGAAGCTCTCGCTCCATGGCAGAACTGCAAAATATTTTCTGAAAAGTCATCTGATCTTCAAATAAAAAAAGAAAAACCACGAGCAGCAGTGATACCAGGACATCCTGTGCTACACTGCTTCTATGCCTTCTTGACTGTTGCTTAGAATTCAGGCTGTTTTGTAACCTGCATTTAGTTAGCTTCAGTTTCCAGGCCCTGGACCTTGTGGTCACATCATGCTAAAAAAGCTTTCTCACTTCATGGGATGTTTCTCTCACCTGCTTCCCATGGGAATGCTTTAGGCCACTATATTTAAACAGGTATTATTGTATTAGTACATCAGAGTTACTAAGTGAACATTAAGCTGACACCTAGGCAATCTAAAAATTTGTTAGAGGTACTTAGAGCAGCTACATTTGCTCTGAAACTCCTCTTTAGCTCCAAAGAGGTTGTTTTTGCTGCTGAGCTACACAGCTAGCGCAACTTGCAAAAGAACATACATTAAGGAGTGTATCTTGCCATATATCCTGTGGTATTTCATCTAATCTTTTTTATCTAAATACTCTTTAGATAAAGCACATGTGATTGTGAGTAAGAATACTGTCATTCTTTTCATAAGTGACAATTTCAGGCAAAAATCTTGGTCTAGTGGTGGTGAAATTCCATATATATAGCTCCTGAGATGCAAAAACCTTTTAACGAGACTTTCTGCCTCAAACCTGGCTTGCTATCAGTCAGGTGTTGAACTTACGCATTGATTAAACCTTACATGTGGAGTCACTTTCAAAACCCAGTTTTTTAACCAGCTTTTTAATTCTTTGAAAAGTTCCACCATTAGATTATTCTCAAGCTTACGCTACCACAAGCGAGTCTCCATTAGACGTGTTTTTCTCCATGTCACAGCATAAAAAGCTCAAGGAAAAAAAAAAAAATAAAAAAGGGGGCAGGTTGCCATCTCCAATGGAAATCTAGAGCAAGACTCTCTGCTCCACGCCGGCTCCCAGGGAAGAGCGCAGTGTCTTCCCCGCCAGCCTCACAAGGCTGGGGACGACTTGTTCGCTAGAAGGAGGGACGACCAGCGGCGGCCGGCAGCTGGGGTACAGCTGCGCTGACAGCTGCCTCCCAGCACCCCTTCCAGCCACGCCAGACGCCGCCCGGCCAGCGCGACGGGCACGGCCTCGGAGCCCACCCGCAGCAGGGCGAGGCCAGCAGAGGCTGCCCGCGAAGGCGGCCCCGGCGCTGGGAGGGCAGCGATCCCCCTCGCTCCCGCTATCACCTGGTTCTGCTCAAACCGGGCAGTAGGGGCCGGGGCAGCGGGTGAAAACGCCCGGTGGGCGGGTGGCTGCCCGCCGGCAACCCACGGCGGCGGGCAGCGAGGGAGAGGGCGAACAGCAGGGGGAAGGCACCGACTTCGCCCCCCAGCGCCCCCGGCAGCCGAGCGGCAGGG